TGTAAGACTCCATCATCAATTCGTCATCTTTTGGGAAGTGGCAAGCGGTAGGCTATTGGATAGCTATGTCATACCAACTTAAGGAGTAACATTGAGGAAATCCGTTTGAGACCTTATTCGTTAACTATTGTGCAAACAGCAATTCCAATATGTGGTTATGTTCAAGATTCACACACATAAATGTAAAGGCAAATTTTGTCGACATTCTGGCAGAATTACCGGTTAGAGCTAAAGACTGAGCTTAAGTAAGAGGAATATATAACATTTTTACTGCAGCTTCGTACCATTTGTAACGTTAATTTCTTCTCCACTGACTGCAATGCAAGGAGGTCCAGTCTCCCGCTTCTTAGACCTATGTGTCTAGTGGACTCAGACCACAAGAGGGGTAGATGAGACTATTAAATAGAGGTAATAAAACAATGATTAAGAATCTTTCTCGTAATAACAATTTTGCCCCAAATAACTGTCAAAGTAAGGGGAGATCTGTGAACCCGCATATTGATAAGGATGATGGACAATTTTGGCAACCCGTACAAATAGCTTATCCTGAGACGAAGCGCATGCTGGACACTAAACAATGCTAGATAGGAATTAAACTAACTATTAAAGGGGATAACTTTGAACGATTATCTAAATCATGAAGGTTTCTGGATATTTCCTCTCCCCACAAGATCAGTGTTGGTCGGCACTGGCCTACAAATGGTTTGAAATTGTCAGTGATTGCGACAATATGAGCATTGAAATAAATTCGATGGTAATAAAGCCCCAGATAACCGTAGGCAGGACAACCTCAGCCCTGCGTAAAAAAGATTTTGGTACATCAAGTGAGTATTTAAAATTTTGTTGAAAAAAGTGAGCTAGGTAGGAAAAGAATGGGTCACAGAATGACAATCTATATTGGTGAAGAAATTTCGAATTTTGTCGAAGGCGAAAAAACGAGATGTCTGGCATAATTTAAGTGTTTTTTATGCTATGAACACTCCGTTATTCATCAATTAATCATATTAAAGTGATTTATTATCACAATGATCAAGAAAACTAGACCAAGACTGAGGTAAATATATAAATTACAAACTGATCTCTAACTTCTGTTTAAACATTGAATAAACCTGAAACCCCCTTCAGCTGTCAAATCAATCGGTGTCGTAAAAAATGAGCTTAGCGGATGGGACGATAAGCAAAAATAAATGTATTTGTTAAACTTATCATTATTTACTGCTCATAAGTCCCGTAAAACAGCAATAATTTGTCAAAAGAATGTCTGAAACAAAGATAATAAAGCATCTTGATTGGCTAGACGTGATGAAGGCGCTGGAACTAGTTTTTGGAAAGACGTGCGGTGATAGCTTGGCAGACCCTAGCGATTGTGAGGCCCAGTCAGCACTTTTTTGAGACTAATAGTTGACCTTAAATTCCCACGACTTGAAACCTGTCCATAAACAAATATCCCGTTTGAAAAAATATACAGAGAGCCGGAGTATTGCGATCGATTATTTCCTTCGCCATATCTGGAAACTCTAATGCTGTAAAAAAACAGAATAGGCCCCCAAACCGTTGAGAAACACTCACCTAGATTTGAAAGATGGCCATTTTAGTTAGAAGCTCGCATACGAGCACCCTCCTAACCAATTTTAACGATTCCGAGATAATCACTGATTCGTTTCAAGCACACCACGACTGCTAATATAGCTATATTACAACGCTCATGGGCAAAAAATGTGTTTGAATAAGTCACACAAAGAAAGCACCTTGCGTTTGGGGGCTATTGTGATGGGTTGATTCCATAGACATGGCTGAGAAGTCAAGTATGCTGCAGCCAAAATTGGGTAAACTTCAACCCCCTTGGTAGGAGGTGCTTTTAATGCTCATTTTGAACAGGGAATTAAGTTTAGGATGACGAGTAATTTAAACTCTGCTACTCCTCTCTTGACCAGGTTTTACATATAGGTATTAGTAGGCGCATAACGATGATTGCGGAGGGCGTGAGCTCTAATTTAACGAACTGCAAGGTTTTCCGTAAATATTACCTCAGGTGCCTCAGGTGCTATGAAGTAAAGTGATAGGAGAATGGTATAAACAGCCACTCGACCCAGATGACTAGCTAGATAAACATGTTGACCTTAATTGGGAAGTGAGGTCAAGTGATATTCTGGGCGCACCACACTCTAAATCTGTCAAAGACCTATTCCTCAAGTGGCAGTCCATTGAAGATAGGATAACAAGACGTGGAGTTGCCCTTTGTTTAAGCAGCCAGAATTTATATTGAACTTAATATAAATATGAATTTTTAAATTGTGGAATATTGGTTTATTTATCAACACGTCCACACATTGTTAAGTTCAATCATTAGTTACTCAAGCACAAGGTCGACGAGGGAGCATTTCAGAAGCACACGCTAGTCGAAGAGACCTTTACCTTAATAGGTTAATATTAGGCTTCTACGTAGAGTAATAAACTTTGAGTGAATGCTAGTTTGTGGTTTGAAATTCGAAGTATATGGTTCTCAGTTAGGTTATATTTATGCTTATTAATATTTAATTTAGTTGCCTATTAGATAACGAGTAACTTTTCAGTTGGCTTTGTTAGCTAAAAATACGAAACCCCTCCATTCTAGTAGCACTTATTACCTAAAGTCTTGGTGATGATTGAGTTGCTAACACTTATTCATTTACAGGCAGGTTAGTACCACACCCCACGTAATAACAAACGAATAATGGGGAGTAATCAGTTCCTAAAGTCGATTTCAAGTTATCCCATTAGAAAAAAAAACAAAATTCCTCTCTTTCCTTTTAATCCTTCTGAGTCGATATATTCACTGGTTCCCTGTATTAAAATCAAATAAATTTGAGTCAGTAGAACTCATAAATATTCTTTAAATAGAACACTATAGAACACTATTTTCGTATACTTCCACCTGGTAATAAAGCTCCCTCATTGTTTTCTTACTGCCTACCCAGATAGCCTGTCAATCTCATAAACTTGTTGGTCTAAAACAAATAATGAGCCTATAAACGAACTACTTTAGTCATAGAACATGAAGAGTAGCCATGATTGGATTAGTTGTTCCAAATACACAGTGATTGATTTGAATATGTGAATTAGCGAAAATTAGTTTATGCATGCTGGCTTAGATGAGTAGGGCTCGAACTCCGAACAAATCATATCCACCTTGTACCAATAGTATTTGCAGCCTTTATCAGTTATGTTTTGACTTATCTGGTCTAATTCCTAAAAATACTTTCCAAGCGTATTTTGATGATTATTCAGAGTACGTAATTCTGATTAGAAGGAGCTGCACATAAGAGAAACTCACATTTTATCACCTCTTGTTGATCCAAATTGGTCAATGTAGTTTGTCATCTACACCACTGGATGTGGGCCGATGCCATATCGATTTCGTGACCCCTAATCTGGCTGACGTGTACATGACCACTGCTCCACTAGTGCGCAATTAACTTTAATTAGTTTTTTTATGACTCCATTTAGTAAAGCGATTTCCAAACACTCATTTTGGACGAAGCATCATCGATGAAAGCTCAAGTTCTTCCACTTCCCATCTTCTTAATTGGCCAGAATTAACCAGTATGGTTACTCATTTCACTCACCGAGGGAACACAAACGGCCACTGAGCCAAGATTTCTGACTCTATAGAATCACTGGAATAATTTTGACTAAATAACTCAAGACACGAATGTCAAGGAATTTGTAATAATAAAATTGCACCTCATTTAAACTGGGTATAAGGGGAGAATGTTTCAAGATATAAAAGATTTTAATTGTAATTTTAACAACCTGGGGTTTTAGTGCGCGCGTGCACATTGACATTAAATTTCGAAAGTAATAAAATTGCATCTTCACCGCATCAGCGTTTACATATGCGCTGACCTTTTTGGTCGAATTCTACTTGATGAGGGATCTTTATTTTCCTAAGTGCTAGACGCTTCGGTGGTAGTAGATAGTGCTTAATTTAGAGAGATTTAACTCTTAATTGCTATATTGAATTCTGATTTCCTATCTGTAGCGTTCTAATACGGCAATTAAAATATACGGATTAGAGACAAATTATTATGCAAGGTGTGTGTGTGTGTGTAACCCGAGCCAATGTCAGCTAGAAAATAACTTTAGTGAATTTCCAATGAAAGCAGAGCCACCACAAATAGATTGTTTACAGAAAGAAGCAAAAGGATCATTTTTATTAATTAATCTTCTGTGTAAGTTAAGGTCAGCCTGAGAGATCGAAGACCGAATCCCTATTTACCACAAGGTTGAGCGGCTTTCTAGGCATTGACTTTTGAAACAAGTTATTTCAAGGTTCACTCTTGAAAATCTGAATTGGAGATAGAGAGGCAAGAATGAAAGGATAAATAGGGGTTTACCTATCAGAAACAAGATACTTTAACTCTTTTCTTCAAGCGACTATAATATAGCTTTAATACAAGCATGAAAGGTTGCAAGTAGACGTAGGACAACTTTAAGCCAGTTCAACTTACTAGAAAGTGCTACAAACTGATTCAGATTCACAGAAAACTTAAGAATACTGAAAAGATATTTTTAAAACAAAATCAGAAAAGCTCTCATTCTCATTACTTCATTTAAAGAATAATTGCATTGTAAGTTTACTATATAGGTAGTGTTCTAATTGTAACAGCTTTAGTGTACAAATAATTCAGATACGAAAATAAACGATTGCTTGCAGTAGCGCAACGATATCAGCAAACTATGATAATCAATTATATTTCGTTTGCATTCATCATTAAATGACCTTTCTTTGCAGCGCTCGATACAGGGTAAATATAAGATACCGGTGCAATTAATTCAATATTTAAACCTACTTATTTAACGATTTTCTTGACCCGATTTCTTTAACATAATTTTGAAAGAACATTGTGCGAACATTACCAATATGTCAAAATGATATTCTTATCTTTTTGAAATATATAAACATGAAAAGTGAAGAACTTGTAAGAAATTTTGATGGAAGCTTTTAATTTTTAAGGGAAATGTCGGCTGCTAGTCAATGCTATTCAAAATTAGGGAGAAATCGAGATTTCCGTATTGAGATTCCTGAATATAATAATAGGGAATCCGGTCCAAAATCGTCTCATTTTCAATACGGCTTATATGTACCTTCAGAGCGAAGGTGGCTGAAATATCATCGACATCGCTCCCTCCCACCTTGCACTCATCCAGACTTCATTGATATTCAAAGAGAATCCGAGTACATCTCACTTAGAAAGAACTTGCATAGTTGTGGTGGTAAGTAGTCAAGATCATGCTTCTGTTTAGCCAAACTTTAGTAAGAATTCGACTCCTCGTGCCTCATCATTGTTAAGCCAGAAAATTATATATTTGAATATATATATATTTACTTTTTATAGGCTCAACTTTAGCTGGGAACTTGCCAGGAAAGATTCCATCTGTTTCCTGGAACAGTCACAAACGTTTTCCACAAAGGCCATGTATCTTTCATCAATTTGCCAGATGCTATAACCCCTGGACTCCATATCCCTGCGGTTTTACCGAAGTGAGTTCGACAATAACCTTCCTACTTATTAATTTCTGAGTAATGTATCAACTCTATTTTCACTATAGGCCTTCCAATCCTTCAGAAATTCAACCTGCCAACAAATCCCTTCAAATTGTCTCGCGTCAAGATCCCTTTCTTGCCCTAGAGACATAAATTAGCCTTATTTTCATTGGAAATAAACAAAAATACGAGAGAATAACTAAGTTTTTTAGTACAAGCGTATTAATAAAGTTCATATCGATTGTAAGTGTGTACAAGTTCAAGTGCGTAGGGAGAGAATTAGACTTTGGGTTAAGTCAGTGAAGTAAAGAGAGACAGTAGAAGTAGTAATAAAAGAAGTAGGATTAGGGAACACAGTTTGGTAGCAGTAATGCTTGCATATGTCACGCGCAGAGGTAGATATCGGTGGGAGATGCGGAGAGCCATACAAGGATGCATAGATTGCCGAAGTAAGGGCACTTTATTATTTGCTAGTGGGACAAAATTACACATGAAAGACATCAAGACGTTACGTGATCTAGCACGCTTTGCTGCTGCCTAGACCTGCCGGTTGAGATCACCCATTGCTACTGGTACGGATGTTATGGATGGCATTTGAATAGAACATTCCCGAGAGTCCACGAAATCGACATGTGGTTCTCCTTTAGATAACAGACTAGCCGATAATTTACGCCTTTGAAAACAAAAAATAAACGATATTCAAATTATTGCCTACTAAAATAAAATAAGTACGTTAAAATTATAGTCGACTCACTTGCCACGAGGAGTTCCTCCAACAGCACTATAACTTCGAGTATCCCTATTCGACACAGTTGTCTGTGTATATGCATCAGCTTGCTCAGTCAACCCGACGGATTGGTGAAAAATACTTCGCTGGTTGAGAAGTGACACTCTCCGTCGTGGAGGAAGTATTCGTTCCGTGGAAATTCCAAAAGTTGGAGTTTTTGCTCGTAGCGCAGGTGAGAACTCGTTGGAACTGGAAAAAAAAGCATAAGGCAACTGGAGTCATTGTTCGAACAGGCCTATGCTGAAGAGTTTACAACATCAAGCTATGCAAACCTGAACATTCCATTGGTAAAAAAGAGAAACTCATCATATAGTAAAGCAAATTTATCATTTTGAAAAAAAAACAAATAGACATATACGAATGCCCCAATCACTCATCCTGATAAAATTATTTTTTGCCTTCTATTTGCGGCAATTGTTGGTCCATTTCGCCTCAGGCCTCTCTTCAGACCGGGGGAAATAAAATGAAAGTCCGTCAGTAACTCAGAAATTATGAATATACATCTGTTCTTTGATAGAAATCAATTAGTTGATTTATAGAAACTGAAAAAAATCGTATAATGCAATACCCTGAGTAGAATTCATAATATTATTCCATTACTGCTTCTGCAAGTGCTTACTTGAGAGCGAAGTATTTTGTCAGCAAGAAAAGTCGAACTTTTAAAGAAATAACTTTGTTCTGCTTATAAATAGTCTTCCTTCTGGAACTGAGCGAACATTATTCTGATACACCTCAGTGGTAGTCCAGATTACAGAAAAACAAAGCTCAAAGTTGTCGATTAGCGATTTGTCTTGGCATGAGTGATTCAAGCCGAAAACACAAAGTTGTTCATCAGCTTTATATACGAGTGTGGGCACTCATCTTGATAACTTAATAATTATTCAGGACAAAAATGTTTTCGATTCACTGATGTTTTAATCCCCTAAATATGCACACAACATAGTAATGGAGTAACGCAGTGCCCTAACTCACCCTCTAATTAGATTTAATCAACATTAGCCTAGCGGTATTTGGTGGGCATAGGGGACGCAGCAGCGGAAGCTGAAATTTCAGCGTAGTTATCATCGAAGTTATCATTTATACCTATGGTGGATATAGACGTTTTAACAACTTGGACCGCAGAGGAAAAGTAAATATTCTGGGAAAACAGATTTTAGTTAAGGGGTCTTTTGACCTCCAAAAATCATTAAAATGAAGACGACATAGAATGTCTTGGATTTAACGCACTCGTGTCCTGTCTTTCTTGTTGGGTCTGAGTCAACTCTAGCCTAACGATATCTAAAGAGCACTGAAATCCGAAAGGTAGAAAACTAAGCCTCCTGGCATTATGGATAACATAGAAAAATCGTATTTTACAAATAATGTGAACCCACCTTTCGAATTTGCTTCTAAATTCCATACCCTCTACGATCTCTCCACCAACTTTTCCATCCACCTGGGGAACAATAGCTTGGATTCTCTGAGGTGGAGGAGAGAACCTCCCCAGGTCCGTGCTATTTCGAGACCTTAGTAACCAATCAGCAGCTGAGGAGTCTGGATAATTGGCAAATGAATGTGATGGAGCCAATCGTCTCAAAAGACCCAATTGGTCACGAAAATGTTCATGGTCAAAAACTCGCGACCGGTCAAATCGAGACAGTTTTGAGCCAAGAGCTGGCGGAGGCGATCGCCGATTATTGTGATGGAACGCTCGCAGTGACGGAAGGTGGTAGTCAAATGGAGAGATCCGTGTTGTATAAAGTAGAGCTTCCCTAGTGGGTGAGGGAATCATTGAGGTGTGCTGGGCCCTATCACCTCCACCATTGTCCCCGCCGTCAGATTCATCCCCATGAATCGACCCACCACTAGGTGGCTCGCGTTTCATATCAGCAACCGCTGCAGCATCAAATTCAGAAGGGATGGAACTACTGGTGTCGCCGGAATTGTTCCCATCGTTTAGGGAATGATAGTGAGGGTCAGACGGTGAGGTTGTGAGGAAAAATGGATCATATCCACCCCGTGGACCAAGTCCGGAAGGGTCCCCCGCGTTGCTTTTGCTAGGCTGCGACGATGATGGCTGCTGGCGACAGTTAATTGGCGGGGGAGCAGTGCGAAAATTTGCCACCGCGATCGGGGTCAATTCGGCAAGAAGAAAGCCTCCGCCTCCAATAACTGAAGGAATTTTGCGACCTCCGCCACCTATTGATTCATTGGCACTACCGCTTACTTTGGACGCGATGCCACCATTAATTACTTCGTGAGATGTTCCGGACGCAGTATGACCTATTGAAGAAAGGGCACATTCGAATTTTTACTTTCGAATCAAACAGTTTTATAATATTATGGGGTTCTGTGTTGTAATGAAAAGTTTCCTAAGTTCCCTCGCTCTAAAGGTTCTATTTGGTCATCAGATTCGAAGGAGAACAAAAAAACTGCTTACAGTCATGACTGAGGCAAATCAATCAGGCCGCCAAGAGAGTCTTCCATTTGACCCGGTCATCATGACTAATAATTTCACTTTCTGTCTACAATAGAGTAAATCTCCCCCCCCCCTCAAAAAATTCAATCAACTAGATGCGAATGTATGCGGAAAGGAAAACAACGCCGTCGTCCCTCAGAATCGACTATCAATAAGTGCCAAATACACTATTTGAAAGCTCAGAGCTGATGAATAGAAGAATGCGCAACATTAGCGGTACGCACATATTGATTCATACGCCTCTTACCGGGCTCGTCACCTTTTACTAATATTATCACCGAATTATCTTACACACGTTCAAAAAGCAACTCTTTGTCATCTCACCTCAAAAAGGCTATTGGACGCTGTTAGAATTTGGAAAGATCATATGACTTATTAGTGGGAATTCTAGACCTAACTTGGTGCAATTCTTAAAATAACGCATAGGCATCGGGAAAAGAACCTCTTAGGCATTAATTCAATTAGCAAAAGAAAGCGGACATCTCTTGAATTACTTTGAGCGAATATGTAATGTAAGAAAAGCGTAGTGCCAAACTTCCGTATCATCCAGTGATGTTCCTGAAACCACTTAGAGGATTAGAGCAAATAAATAGGCGAACACGTGTGCGCGCAGAGTATTTGCATCGGGGTGTGTACACATACACACACACACAATCAGATTCGATTAATGCTCCAGAATTTATGTCATATGAAATAGTCATGTGTGTGTGTGCTACACTGACCTCGATCTTGCTAAAAAAAACTCGGTAAAATCAGACCAAATTTCATCCTCAGTTCCGACCACTTACGATTACAGACAGTTGAGGAGGCTTGAATTAGACCGTTAAACAGGATCTAAGATGGTTATTAAGGTTTAAGAACCTCTTCCTATTTGAAACAGGAATTGATATTTACACCCCATTTTGATGAAAAAAAATATGTAGGACTTTTACAATTACGAGAAGCTGGAGACATGAGTTTATCAACAAAATCGCCTCAATTTGACCCTGATTCACGATGGCACAGCAGACAACTTAAAACGAGTTCCCACTTCCCACTACGCTAATTGCATAGCATTCTGTGGATTCACGCGCCTGAGTCCATTCCACTCAATCACAAGGTAAAAGTGACTCATTCAAGTCCCCCCCCCCCCCCCAATGCACAATAAGAGAGAGAGGGAGGAAGAGAGAGGACACGTCATGTAAGCGACCAGAAAAACAGTGAAAGAGGTAGAGGTGTGAAGGTGCCTTGAAAGGGGTGTTGAAAGAGAGCACATGGTAAAATGAAAAATGCACGTAAGAAAGAAAAACAAGTTGTCGGCTCATATGTAATACAACACCGGAGGCGTAAAGTGATGTATGTATGTAGGCAAAAATCATGCACATACAATCACAAAAACAAATGGACCCTTCACCAAATAATCAAAGCACAGGTAATTAAAGTTAGAAGACAAATATTTTCGCATAACTAAGTGAACAAAATTTTTGATGCTTTAAATGAGTAACTAGTTGGAAGAAATGAGGTCTTGACCTAACCCACTATTGGCAGACAACTAAATTTCCCTAATTCCTCAGTTCATAAACAAAGAATAGAGTATAGAAAGCCTTAGTTAAACACTTTTCTAAAACTACTGTATTCAATTGTTTCAATGAGTTCCCAAAGTCATTCTAAACACAAAACCAACCAGGAGTGCGAAACCAGTTTAAAGTTATGTTGCTTTTTGAAGATTGAAACATTGCAGCTAACACTCCCCCTCTCTCACGTTCCTAAAAGTCGTCCCAATTTAAAGCCCAAGTGGCTGGTATCTCGATGTCAGAAGCGGCAGTATGGGAATAGCAGTGGCGGGACAAACCGAGGAAGATGAGACAGTGTCACGCATCTCCACTCACCCATTAAGTGGCAAACTCTCTATACGTCTCACTCCCACCGTCCCAACCTCGTACCCAGACCGATGCGCATACAGGGAGTGATGACTGGACAACAAGAAAGCTTCCTGCACATCTCTTTCTCTCTGTCACTCGTGGAAAACCTTCCTTGTTTCTTCAAGAAAATGATGAAAAAGGAGCCTATAAACCTGACGGCTACTTTTACAGTATGTGCTATACTGAGTCACAGCAGAAAACCCTAGATAGGAGGGGAAAAGTACAACGATGAAGGGGGTGATTCATTGCTGTCTGTGTGGATATGCATAGGAAAGAATGGTCGTCGTCGTCTGGAAAAAGTCACGTGAACTGGAGGTACTTTAAATAAAAATAGCGACATCTAAGGAAACTGGGGGGGGGGAATATTTTGCTCAAGCGATAACGGCCACATAAGTACGTACGCCTGTCTGTAAGAAATGAGATTAATGACCACCAGACCCAATCAGTGATGTGGATGGCCAATCCCACCAGACAATCCAATTCAACATGAGGGTTAAGCGAAAGTTAATTTCTAATCAGAGTGGTTCTAAGACACCTCCTCTCTACCCTCCTTCAAGTGTTGCTAACCATTTCCTTAACGAGCTTGAACAGTATATTGACTAAGGAGTTCAAAAAGCGTTAGAAGGTGAACGGTAATATTGACGATAATGAAAATAGTAGATGCCATGCAATCTTAAACGCAACTATCGGGCCTACTCTACCAAAGAACATGATCATTAAGAATGGCACATTTTTATCTCGCCTCAGTGAGATGGCTAAAATGAGGGGGAACTCAACTATAAACGATCAAAACAGTGGAGTGAAAAAATAATTTCAATTTTCAACCTTGACAGAATGAATAAATTCACTCGTTTCCAGCCTCCAAAAATAGGAAATGCCCTTTTTCCTTGACAATTAAGGTAAAAATAAAGGTGTAGCTTGTGAAGAAGACATTTTAAGAGAGTCTGGTTCATTATAGCGAATCGAGAAAAGAAATCGCAACAGCAATATTTATGTTTTACGCCAGCACTGCAGAACACAAAAGTTGTGATTTCTACAAGATGCATAAAAGCTGGCCGTAGAATGTACACGATAGTCACCACTTTTATCGATAGACGGAGCGAGTGAAACAGTTGCCGTTTTTTTAAAGAAGAATTCCAAAGTTTTCCGCTTCATTACTGCGCACATCTTCCCATCCACCCAACATACCCCCCCCACTCTCATTTCCCCAAACCCTAACACCACCATGTGTCCATTAATATATATATATATATATTGAGTGTTGTATTTGACCATGTCGTCTGCATATGGAAGAGAGAACTGAAGAGCGTCAGGTTATAAAACACCTGAGAAAAAGGTGGTGGTTGGATAAATGGGTGCAGCACAAGAGTGCAAAACACGTTTTTCGTCTGTGCTGCTGCACCTACACCCAGACGCTAAGAGTTAGAGAGGAGGGGGTGGGGGTGGGAGCAAAGGTATTTGGGCAGGAAAACGGTTTTCTTTGCACACCAAAACCCCCACGCGCATCCGCCCTTCTCCCCTACACCAAGCCAATATGCCTTATTCGTCGTTTCAGCCCTTCCCACCCCCCCCTCTCATTCCAACCTCAAGTCTTGTCTTGTGGTCAGTGCATACGCAAACTAAGGGAACATGCGTGTGGGGATTTCAGTCCAAACTTGCCACTCCAAAAATTTATACAGTGGAGTGTAGATTTGCGAGAATTTTCATTTCCATCTAGCCATGATAGAGGAATAGATTATTTTCCTACCTTCAATGATTTGTAATTAAATAGCTCATGAATGGCAATGAAATAGAAAAAAAACATGGGAGAAGCGTTCAGGAGACTTGACTTGGCTAGTGAGAAGGTATTACTCTAGAACCGGTCTTACTAGAAATTCCGATTCCCTCACCTCTTCTGTCGACTAGAATTAATCAGTGGGACCAAACACCTAAACCATTGGATATGTAACGATCATCAGCGACCACGTACCCACCGACCTGGCAAAGATGTGTCGCTGGGTGCATATCTTCTTCTAATATCCCACGAATGCAAACCCTCGCACTATCGAAAACGGAGATTCAATGCAGTGACTATTTAAGTATTGCTAAAAAACGTTCCAGCAAGAAGGCAATAGAACCCGGTTTCCGATTCCTATCCTCTAGAAACTGAATTCGAACTAAGTCGACTATAGCTAAGATGAGCTTAGAAATTTCACGAATAATTCCCATAAATAAAACCAAACATAAAAAGTGAAATAACCTATGTTGTTGTGCTTGTGCTAGCACAAATAACCGTTTCGTGTAAGTTATATTTTGCAAGTCCAAACATCTGACGCCATCAATCTGGTTTAGTAGAGAAGAGTAATCTAAAGAAAACATTATTCAGTTACACATAAAACAATCAGAAATATCCTTTGATACAATATTGGAGATGAAATCGAGTGAACTTAAATGAGTTCTGATACGTTAAGAACAATTTAGCCACCGGGCCATTCGGAGAGAAACATATTGAGCATTTCAATCTTCCGATCACTAATTTTTGAATAAGGTGGCAAAAAAATAGTTTAATCCCACACTAAGCACTTTCACCGTTTCTTGAGTTTGGATGCTCCCCATGACTGGAAATGACAATGCTATTAATAAGTTATCTGAATCAATGGACGTCCAACGATTGCAATAACAATGGGTTTTAATAGGCAGTAGATCTATCATCACAGCACCGCTAGATTTAACTTGTAAGGTAATGAAATAGATGCCGGAAAATAATGCGCCCAAACACTGGTACAGGGTGGGGGGGGGGGGCCAAANGGGGGGGGGGGGGGGGACAAAACTCACCTTTACCGACCGCATTGGCCTGAGCTAGTAACCGAAGTTTTTCCTTTCGTTGACGCACGAAACAGATGGCGATAAGGAATACCATCACAATAAGCATTGCACCAGCCAATACCCCGAGAATAAGGAACATCAGGGAGTTGGATGCATTGGTGTTCATACCCAAGAATCCGCCCCCGTCTGTGCCATCAGAGGAGGCATTGAGTTTGTTTTCAGGCACTTGGGCAGCCGATTTCTAGACAGGAGGAAGAGAAAGGCGACAAGAGGTTAGGGACGCTAACTTTATATATATATATATATATATATATATATATGTGTATATGTGTATGTATATCTTCAGTGGCCTACGTGACGGAATGAGCAAGCATTAAAACACGAACTAGGTTAAAGGTTTAGACTTAATGCGGTTTCTCAAATATTCTCCTTCCTTATGGAGAGGAAGACGTTTGTTTAAAGGGTAATTCAAGATTTGTGGAGAAAACGTGGGAGTCATGGCACTTTATCATGTTAAATGACAACTCTGAAGTTTTTATTTCGCCAGATAATTATTTATTGATTGGCCCATCTACGAAACATATTCGCAAAATGGACCAACTCACCCATGGAGTCTTACTTCGCCCTGCGTTATACAACCCGGGTTCCACTTGCTCAGAAGTGACACTTGAGTCATTTCCTCCCTAATCCACTTTCTTCATTCTGCTCCTTTCCGCTCTCCTTTCCCACAATTGGTCAATTCCGTTGAGCCCAATCAAACTCGTGATTTTCTGATTTCTTTAAAGGTTACACCTTTTAATAAAAACATATACAACAGCGGATAAACCCTGCTGATTCAGGTTGGAGTATCTGAATCTTTATAGAGACATTAAAAAACTTGTCTTAACAGAAACATCTGAGGCAAATAAACAGAATTTATTACCGTGAGGAGAAAGATTATTTTAATTAGTCTGAATGCCTGTCCATTTCCACCTTAGCTATCCCAAAGGACAGCTGGTAATACACCATTTTTGAATGGCAGTTAATGGACTAGTCTAGAGAGTAGATACCCTCACCCCCCCCCCCCTGGTTCCAGTTATCAGATGACCTCCTTATCAAGCTAACTGAGAGAAAAATGATTGTCGTTTCTCGAATACACATTCGAAACAGGTTAGAGCTTGTAGAAGAACAAATACGAAGATACTCACCGCGTCCATTGGCACAAAGACCTCCTGGCTGAAGGCAGTAATCTTTCGACCGTTGAGTCCACCGGTAAAAAGGGAGGTAGTAGGATCGACCCCCTCTGGGGTGTGTTCACCGTAGATCACGAATTGGTAGCCTGCATCTCGGTCAAGACCTGTCACTTTGTACTCCTTATAAAGGCGAGGAAAAGGCATAAGTGAGTACACGAATGCAATCACTTTTCAGAGAAAATGTACACGATTAGTTATATAAATTAAAATCTAAAGAGCGGCTCAATTAAAATACTCGGAAAGAGGAAGGCTCGAGAGATGGTTAGCCGAGTTGAGAAATGAGTGACTTCAGTATTTGCCTCTAAATGTAATTTTTAGCTTATAATAAGTAATAGCTCCGTAGCCATGTCGACAGAAGTGGCTCATCCAACCAATATTTAAAACTTGAAAACTTTCATGGGGTGGGGGGGGCGTTGGTCTGCTTCAGAGATACTATAATTAAGCAACAAAATGAAAACCCTGGTTCATTCTATATAAATAACTTACATTCGCATTCCAATTTTAGATTTACCCGACAACAAAAGCAGCATTGTGAAAACACAAATGGGTTTAGGCAATTGCATATTATTGCCCAAAAGTTCGAGTCCCATATAAACCCAATGATTAAGTAATAGAAATAAGAGTGTAGCGTTCACTTATCAATTCGATGGTAATTCAACACATGCTCTAATGGAATCTAAACCTATTGGGTTGGCAACTAAGTCATTGCCGTTTTTGTTGACAGATTCGCTCTATATTTTCTTTTGTTTTGTTAACGTGGCCAGAGCATCTAACCTATATTTTTTTCTTACTGTATGGGCTTCTAGGTTAATTAGTAAAACATTTTTTTGTTTAGTTCTTTAGTTTTGTTTTTATCCCAATTTAAAAATGAAAGAACAGGACGTGCACCTCCGACACATTTTATTGTATTACTTCCGAAAAGGCAAGAATGCATCGCAAGGACAAAAGAAGAAGTTATGTGCCGTATATGGAGATGAAGCCTTAAAAGAAAGGCAGTGTCGAAATTGGTTTGAAAGATTTCGTTCCGGTGATTTTTCACTCAAAAATTCACAACGATCTGGCCGCCCAGTCGAAGTGGATGAAACCCATATCAAGGCCATTATCGATTCAAATCGTCACAGCACAACACGAGATATTGCAGAGAAGTTCAATGTGTCGCATACATGCATTGAAAAAAATTAAAAACCCTTGCTTATGTCAAGAAACTTGATTTATGGATCCCTCACCAGTTAAAGGAAATTCATTTGACGCAACGGATTAGCATCTGTGATTCGCCGCTACTGAAACGCAATGAGAATGATCCATTTCCGAGGAAGAACCTAGTTACTGGCGACGAAAAGTGGATAGTTTATAACAATGTTACTCGCAAGAGATCATGGGTGAACCAAGATCAACCAGCCCAAACAGTATCAAAAGCAGAGATTCACCAAAAAAAAGATTATGCTGTCAGTCTGGTGGGGGGATCACAAAGGAATTTTGTATTTTGAACTCATGCCGCAGAACCAAACGATAAATTCAAATGTGTATGTTGAAGAACTCGAAAAACTGAAGGATGCAATTGAAGATAAGCGGCCGGCATTATCAAATCGGAAGGCTGTTGTTTTCCATCATGATAACACAAGGCCCCACACATCTTTGGTTACTCGGCAAAAATTATTGGAACTGGGTTGGGATGTTTTGTCACACCCACCATATAGCCCTGACCTTGCGCCTTCGGATTACCATTTGTTTCGTTCCATGCAAAACTCTTTAAATGGTAAAATTTTTAACAACGCGGATGATGTCGGATCACACCTAATTCAGTTTTTTAATAGCAAAGACGAGACATTTTACGAACGGGGAATTTTTACTCTGCCAGAACGATGGAAAAAGGTCATCGACAAGAACGGCCAATACCTAATTGAATAAAGTTATATTTTTAAACAAAAATTCCGAATTTGCCTTCTTATTTGAAATCGGCAATGACTTAGTTGCCAACCTAATAGTTTGAGATAAAACATGGCACGGTTGTTAAAAAGAGGAATGCATTTCAGGAATCGTTTTTCAGTTTG